TGGAAGGAGTACAGACATGGATCTCTCCCAGTCAGTTGGCCAACTTGCTGTCTTCCAAATTTCCTGGCGTCGATGAGTGCGGACTTCCAGTGCTTCATTAGCATGCTGAAACATTTCAATCGTTATTCCATCAATTCCCGGAGCCTTGTTTTTGGCTAATGCATTCGGTGCACCTTGAACTTCTTCCTCCAGTACCATTGGCTCTTGCTCACATGTTACTTCCTGAAATGGTTGAATGCCGATGAGTTCTTTTTGGTGTCGTGACTGTGTGCATTCTTTACATCTTCTTGTGATGCCTCCTGCATCGTTCAATATTTGGCCCATAGAATCTTTCAATATAGCAACTCCATGCTTTGGCAGATAGGGTATGAAGGCTGACACTTTGGCTGTTATGTGATACTATTCAAGAAAGAGAGGAGAGGGTACAGAACAGAGTCTTCATTTGATTGATAGAAAAGTTGATTTCTATGATCACGCTTTGGGGCCAACGGAAAGTCATAACTTTCATCTTGACCACTGATTGGATTGGACCATCCTTGAACCCTTGGTGAAGAGACAATGGGGCCCACCCCACATATCTAGGATGGTTTGGTTTGATCCAAAGATAACCCTCTAGAAGGATGGAGGGGCTACAGATCTTAATAAGAGATTCTAGCAACCTACCATGAACATTATTTTTTGTGGGTGCTCTTAATTGATAAAGAATTGTGTGTGTTACAGAGTTAGGATAATCAAATTCACTGCCATCAAGTCCATGCCGGCTCATAGTGACCCTGTAGGACAGCCTAGAATTGTCTTGGTGAGTCTCCTTAACAGAATACGGGAGCAGAAAGCCCCTTCTTTCTCCGATGGGGTGGCTGCTGGTTTCCACTGTGGGCCTTGTGGATCGCAGCCCAACGCTTAAGCACTACACCCCCAGATCTCCTTAGCGTGAGGATGGAGCGCCACAAAAGAAAGAACTTAGGTCCCTAGTCCTTAGAAAATCGCCCAACACGCAGTAGGTGCTCAATGCACATTCATGAGTACATGTGATGGCATGAAGGAAGGGAGAGAGGAAGGAATTGACAATATCCGTTCACTAGGAGTCCTGGGAAAAAGAAGAATCAGGTCGTGTTCTTGAGAAAACAGAACCAACAGACTATCTTTGGGATCCTTATTACAAACTAGACAGGTGGACCCCATGCAGTGGCCTTCATGGCTGCGGCTCTCTCTCCACGGGATATTCTTTCTCCATACTTTGACTCTCTTAACAGAGGCTCATCCATCAGCCCCAGCTCAGGTCTTCTGCAGCCCTTCTCCGACCTCCTCTCCCCTGGCTCTCAGCCTTATTTTGCTGCCGATACTTTGTGTGCTGGGAGAAAGACAGCCAGAATGTTCCTTAGAAGTGAGGAAGGCAAGACTTTCTCTCACGTACTTTAGACACGGTTCCCAGGAGGGCCAGTCCTGGAGAAGCACATCGTGCTTGGGAAGCAGAGGGTCACCGAGCAAGAGCTAGATCCTCAA